GCATCTTTGGAATCTTAAAAATCTGTTCTCTATACACTTCTTGGAGACGGAGAATACCATGATTTTACGGTGGACGTATTTAGAATATTTAGATTGATTTAAACGAATCATTAGCGTTACAGTTTTTACTTCAATAATTATATAAATTTCGAATTAATATAATAATTATTGTACCGTTAGTGTTGAAGTTGTACAAACAATTTTCGTAGCAACGCAAAATTGAATGACGGACATCCAGCGGACGTCAATTTCATCTTTTAATGCTTCTTCTCTTTTTATTTTTGCTTTTATGCAAAACTGAAGCTACTGTTCCAGCTAAGATTATGCACATGTTTTGTCTTTTCAAAATATTTGAGATTTTATTTGTCATAAATCAAAACTTGTACTAACTCAGAAACGAATTGAATGTAAAATTGCAACGTTAGTGGATAAGTTGTACGATCGTACAAAAATTTTATCAATTTCTGATCGGTACGACTATCGCAACGTTAGTCGGGCATTTTTGATACATTTAACATTTACCTTTTGTATCGCATTTCCCAATAGACAATTTTGAATATGTTGGATCAACACATAATTTACCTAATTAATTATTTATTTCAAAAAAATTTAAAAATTTAAAATTTTCTTAAGAATAGTACCTACCTTAATTTTTTATTTAATAAAACTGTTGAAACCTCAAGGGGTGGTTGATACGAAATTTATTAAAAAAAAAACGACAAATCATCAATCAATGAGAGAGAAGATAACACATTCGCTACTGCTGTTGCAATTTTTGACTAACTTTTTTGTTTTTCGACCTACGGACTTCGGACCTTTTGCATTCAACGCAGAAGGGACATACAGAACCAGGGATGTGGGGAGATTTTTTCAATAATTTTTTCGATTCAACGCACCGTTTCCGAGTTATACTGCCTTTTTACTATATGACGTCACACATCTCTTGTTTCCAAAATTTATTTTCGACATTCGAACTTCGGACATTTTGCATACGGACAATCAAAACTAGGGGTGTGGGGAAGATTTTCGACATCCGGACCTCGGACATTTTTGCATTCAACGCAGAAGGGACAATTAGGACGAAGGGTGTGGGGAGAATTTTTCAATTATTTTTTCGATTCAACGCACCGTTTTCGAGTTGCAAACATTTTTTGATTCTACGATGTCACACACCGTTGGTCCCGATTTTTTTTCGACTATCGGACTTTGGACGTTTTTCACTCGATCAGCAATCAGAACCATGACAAATTTTTTATACTTCGTGGCATTCCCAAGGTACAAGCAAAAACCGTTTCTTTTTTTCATACGTTGTGACGTCATAGCTCGATGTGTATCCTGAAGATTCTGGGGAAGCCCCAGAGACTCCCGAAGACAGCAGAGAGAGAAAGATAAGCCCTCTGTTGAGCCGAAACAAGTAGGCCTTAATGTGTCACTTTGTAATAAAAAAAAATAAGTCAAAAGAAAATAGATATAACGTCTTGTCAAGTTGTTCATCCAAAAAATATACCATTAAAAAAAGATACAGTCCACTCAATCATCAACCACAAAACATTGTTGGTCCTTCGAGGACAAAGTAACTCTATCTCTGTCGTGCACAATAACTCTATCTCTCTCGCACACAATCATAAAAATGACAGAAACGAACCTTCCTTTAAAAATACATAAGATTTATCATTATCAGAATAACGCATTTTAATTTAAAAAAATTAAAATGGGTTATTCTGATGATGAAAAGTAAAACATAATTAAAATCTATTATTCAAATAACAATAATGTGTAAAGATTCTTCAGGAATATCGGCAAATTTATTTTGGAGGACGAATCCCGCCAACGAACAACATAAAAAATATTATTAGAAATTTTAGATGGTCAGAAAACAGCCCCGATCTCAGTCCTTTAGACATATTTTTGTGGGAACACTTCAACAAAATATATTATTAAAGACCTTGTAGTATAACAACCCTAGGTTCGATAGAAAAAAATAATATAAACGTAGTTGTGGCCAAAAATATGTGATCGTCATAAGGAATACCTACGTTGTATACATCTATTCTTAATTGACCGGAAGGCGCTGGCTACTAACTTTAAAGAGGGGATGTATGATTTAATTTTATAAAACAAAAGCAGAGTAAATACACTTAACTTTATTATTTACATACAACAGTCTTCAAATTAAACATGTGACAAATAGAAAGAACAACAAAAACATTAACAACCATTTAATATAAAATGAGAGTGCCAGGCTCGCCTAGAGCTCCTGCGGGGAAAGAGCACGGCAGAGAAACCCACGATCGTTGCTCTTACCACCCAAATATGCATGTAAAACAACCGCTAACCAAAAGGGATACATTAAGAACCTTTGCTAATGATAATTAAGACTTGTCCCATTAAATGCGTCACTAAATGTCATCTCACTCATATTAGACATTCACACTTCCAAGTAAAACTGAAGAGGTTTGGTGTTAGTTAGCCGGCAGGGCCGGAAGGTACTGGAGTCCAGGCGGGAAGCAATTCAGCTATAGTTGAGATTTCGGAAGATCTCTTAGCAATTCTTTTTTTTTGTATTTAATTATTCTTTTTTTTTTCAGATTCGTTTCTCACGGGCGAAAATGTTAGTGAATTCAACAAGGCCCTTATATGCTTCTTGACATAAAGTGAGATAATGTACATACATTTTAACATATAATAAATAATAAACAATCTATAATAATGATTGTAACAATTTTACGTTAGAAAAACATACGCCCCTAAGCATAAAACAATGAAGGCCAAACATACACAGAATTATTATCATGAAACATCTATGTTTTTCGAACAACGTAATCATGACAAAATCAAGTTAGATGTGAAACAAAGAAGTCGTTATTGTAATGTCTGGCAGTTACCACAATATGTATATATTTTAACATGAAATAAATAATGAGCAATCTTTAAGAATAATAATTATAACAATTTTACCTTAGAAAAATATATGCCCTTGAGCATAAAGCAATGGAAGCTAAACATACAAAGAATTATTATCAAGAAACATCTATAAACATCACAATCATAAGATTACATAGAACAATTAACAACAAAGTCCTTAAAGGATATTACCTGGTAATTAATACCGGTTAAACACTTAATTTTCCACTACTTTGCCACACTGTCCGCCGATCGTCTGGCTACCTATCTGCACACTGTTCTCACCTCAACTCTAGGCTTCCTTCCAGAATTGCCCCATCTAGTCGTTTGCTTTTTTTGCGCTTCCTTCTACCGACCGTTAATATTACTTTTTCATTATTATACAACACTCATGTAACAGGTGACGTCGAAGTTAATAAGATAAGTACGCTTTTACACAACCTCAAAATTTACAAGTATTGAAAGAAAAAATACAGGACGAAATGTTTGATAATTCTGAATATGTTTTTAACGCAATACCCTGTACCTACATTCTGCGACGTACTAATAACTCACTTTGTATATTAAATAAATTTATCATCTTCATCATCAAATATTAAAAAAGTTATATTCAAGCTGTTTAAATATCATTAGCTAATTAACGAAATTGTGATTAAATAACCTAACTATGCGGGCCGCTGCATTTGAGTATTCCTAAAATTCTTGGTGGTGTCCTCGATCGGCAATTCGGAAATTTAAAACTGCTGTTCTCTTCCAGTAGCGGTCTGCAGAGAAGCAAATGTCTATGGTAAAATACACGTGGTTTGATTTAGCATAGAATTTTGAGTAATTTTTATCAAATCGATATAATTTTGGTATCATTGCAAAGCTAAAACATATACCCACTTTCCTCGTGTAAGCAATTTTTTATTTAAGCCTTTATTTTTGGGTAAATAAATATGACAATTTCATGCACAGTTTACTATTTAAATTTAAACAATAAAAAAATAATTTGGAAAAACAATTATACAGCAGTCTTAGGAAATAACTTTGTCTTTCGATTGTTTTTTTAATCGAGCCGCTATGTTTATTCGTTTTCCAAATAAGTGTTATGAGCCGAGGGCAAAATATGGGTTGATTTTAAGCGCGCGACGGACACTTAATACCAAAAGCCTTTTGCTTTGGTAAAAGTTCATTCAATGTGAATGTGAAAAAGAATAAATTATTTGTAGCTGAAAAACAGATTTTTGTAAAAGTGGCGTGGTATTTACTTTTTACTCTAGTTTGTCATTGGAAGAACTTTGTTCAAAATATATGAATACAGACTGCTGATAATTTTCCCGAATTTATATTTTTATTTTAGTATACCCATTCATTTATCATCTGCTTGTTAAACTTATTTATTATTTTTCATCATTATTCCTCTTCTACGCAGAACGAAAGACGAAACGAAGATAATTAATTGGAAAGTTATTTATTTCTAAATTGTGTGTATTTTCGACGCAAATTCCCAGCGAGGAAAAGGAAAACCGTCTCATTAGTACATCAGGCTTATATAATACGTTGATGTGAATTATGGAAATGAGAACTCGACAAATTTTTTTCCAAGGATAATCTGTATCCCCTTTTCATTCAGCCGGCTTAGGTAATGTCGTGCATTGATATAAAAGCCTCCAAGGCCGCGAAAATCAATTCGAGCTACACAGGTAGGAGAGGCACATTTGTAAATATTAGTACGGAGATTATATGGCGTGGGAGGTATCGTTACGTTTAATGCGGCGATATACATATTTCGAATGCTTTAAAATTAATGAGCGATATCCGAAGAGCATAGAAGTTGAAGATATGCAGACAGACGTGCAGATTAACAACTTTAAACCTAATTTTCGCAGTAAAATCTAATTAAAAAGTGGTTTTAAGGTATTCACGACCCGTGATGGTTTATCGGATTGTTATGCCGTGTTGCTGGCTGCCAGTTACCTTGCGTTTCCTTAGCGTTAACTAGAAATCTCTGACCTGCCCTTATTGTTCTTGGCCTAGGCTCTGTGAGGGCGGACCCAGTATCAAAACTCTTAAGCTCGCCCTTCGGTTCTTGTTGTTGGTTGTTAGACCTCTACAGATGGAACCGTTCCCCAGACAATGGTGGGTCTTTGAGACAATGGTGGCCTTTGTAACTGGTAGCATCCCATTCTTCCAAACGTTTAGCCATTATTCACTGTCAGCATCTTCAGTGATGATTCTGCAAAAGCTTCTCCGTGACCAGTCTGTAATTGGCGTCTACCAGGTACATACAGTGTGACCCATTTGTTTTTGCTAACCTGTAAAATTTATTGTGCAATTTTAACCGGATTTTTTTTTTAAGATGTAGAATAGGGTGGCCCAAAAAAAAACGAATATTTTTTTTTCATGTATCTTATGAAAATATGATAGTTTATCATGTTTTAAGAGCCCTCTCAAAAAATCAGCTCAAAAAAAAATTTTTAGAGGTCGCTCAAGATTTTTAAAAATTTCTAAAATCGTCAAAAATTGAATTTTTCTTTTAATTTTTTTTCTCGTTATTTTATCATTTTCTAAGTTGAAAAAAATCTCGATTCTGAATATTTCAAATCGATATTTTAATTTTTAAAGATCATTCATAATTATTTTAACTTTCAAAGTAGTGTACCTATGTATTCGAGCGACCTCTAAAAATAAATATCAACGAACTAATAATTTTTTTATTGAATTTGATGAAAAAAAGAATAGAATAAATTACGAGACACTTAAATTTTAAAAAATTAAAAAATTAAAAATATTTGATACTCACACTGCGGTAGTAAATTTTTGCCTCGAGAAATTTTTTAGGTGTCTCGTGATTTATTTCTATTCTTTTGTTCATCAACTTCAATAAAAAAAATTATTAGTTCGTTGATATTTATTTTTAGGGGTCGCTCAAAAACATTTAGGTACACTACTTTTAACGTTAAAATAATTATGAGTGACCTTTAGAAATTAAAATATCGATTTGAAATTTTCAGAATCGAGATTTTTTTCAACCTAGAAAATGATAAAATAACGAAAAAAAAATTTTTTTTAAATTCAATTTTTGACGATTTTGGAAATTTTTAAAAATCTTTAGCGACCTCTAAAAAAATTTTTTATCGAGCTAATTTTTTGAAGGGGCTCTTAAAACATGATAAAGTAACATATTTTCACAAGAGACACGAAAAAAATTATTCGTTTCTTTGGGGCCACCTTAATGTAGAGCTTGATGAAATGTGCTTTGTGAAGGAAAATGAGCATCATCCCACAAAATCCAAAGAGTGTACGTCCGTTTTTAGGAATAAAATTATAATATTTCACTGGATTCACCACACCCCCAGAACGATACAATATCAAATTTTATCAAAAATTTTTAAATAGTAACGATTTTGTAGCCAAATAAAAAATTCACAAGTCTTACTTTTTTATTAATTTATTGGTGATCCATGAAGTTATTGTTGTCCATGAAACAAAACAAAAATAAAAATTGGAATTAATTACACTCTAGTAACGTGGTATTATAATAATTATTAATAGTCTTAATTTTAACAAATTTAAAGATAAAATAACGAAATTAAAACCAACAAAAGTTAAATACATAATTATATTCTCGTCACTTCTATTAGTCCACCATATAGTTCTATGCACTTCTTAATTCTTTGACGTACGTTCGTAATTACTTTTTGTATTTTTTGGTTTGGGGCAATTTCTGCACAGGCTTGCACTATCCTAGCACGTAGTTTGTGTACAGTTCTTGACCTTGATTTATAAACTTTTTGTTTCAACAAGTCCAGGGATCTCGGCTGCTACTCAATTAAAGGACTATTTCATACTATCCAACAATTCTCAAAATGTTCGTTTAACTATTCTCTCACCGCAGCAGCGTTATGAATAGGGCTACCATCTAATTGAAACTTCAAATTAAGGAGATTTCTTAAAGGCTACTCATTTAATGTGTTCCGAAATTCATTATTAAGCAAAAATAAAAATCTATTCTATTCAAAGAAAAAAATATCTATTCGCATTCAAATTGCCATCAAAGAAAGGGCCAATTATTTTATTATTTATTATTCCACATCAAACATTAACTTTTTGCGAATACTGCCTCTTTACGTTTATAATGAATTCTGGATTCTCAGCTCACCAATGACGACAATTTTGAGACGAAACTACCCCATTTGTGTCATGACTAAATAAAATTTCACTTAAAAATTTTGGATTATTTAAATAGCCAATAACAAAACTTCAAACGTCTTTCTTCATGTCCCAATTCCAAAGTACGGACAAATCTCTAGGGATATTAAGATTTAAACAAGCCACTCTAATTTGGTTATTATTTCTCAAAATTCTACGACATCCATTATGTCTAGTTTTAAGTAAATTTTTTGACACAGCCTGTTCCATTGAAAACTTTATTAATATATTATACATTACTCCAACTTATTCGTCTGTCTGGTTGCCTAGTATTAAATTCTATTACAGCATTTCTTGCCGAACCCACATTATCGCCAACAAGTCGTACAATTAATGGTATATTTTCCATGGTTATTAACACGAGATAAACTTTACTACACACTAATTGGTCACTTGTGGCAATTAGCTAACTACCTCATTTTTTATTTTACTTCATGGACAACTTAATATCAACAATAATTAATGAAAAAAAATAAATAAAGTACCTAAATTATTGATTTGGTTACAAAATTGTTATTATTTAAAATTATTTGATAAAATTTGGTATTGGCCCGTTTTGGAGGGCTGTGAATCCAGTCGCGTAAATATATTGTTTCTCAAAAAATCCCTAATATGAAATATTTGAATTTTACTCCTAAAAACGGACGTAGTACGCCTTGGATTTTGTGGGATCACTTTCATTTTCCTTCACAAGGAATACTTCATCAAGTTCTACATCTTAAGAAATATTCGGTTCAAACTGGACAATAAATAAAGATTTTACAGGGTGGCTTAGAAACAAATGGGCCTGTAGGCCATGACATAACAACCAGAAAACTTTGAATGTTCAAATAGCAGCGTTACGAGTATTGTTCTGTATACGTTAGTTTTTCAAATCAAAATTTATATTATTCCTAATAATTTCTAAGAATATTGAAAATTTTTTTAACTAATTTTATTTGTTGAATTTGTACACCATAAAATGAGTTGGTCAGTTTTGTTTATGATGTGTACTTTCAAATTTGGTATATTTATCTCCTATAATATACATATGTCACAACTTAGACGGACAGTTTATACTGTCATCTCATCTGCCTGGTTCATACCCATTGATCTCTGAAGTACAATCTTAGAGTTGTTTCAAAATCTTATGAACTTTGACCTTCATATGCGCAGAAACATAATTCCGACCGTTGCCTATATTATTCTACGTCCTAAAAACATTACATATATTATTCATAGCCCATCTCGAGCTCTCGTAGCGTAAACAAGCCTTTGATCCGATTACAAATATTATAATAAAATGCCCTATTGTTTATTAAATTAATTTAGGCAATAAAAAAATATATATAACGAACATTCGCTAGTTGACTTTATTGATGCCCGAGCACCTTAATTCATTTCTGGTTGTAATGAGGCACGTGGTCTAATTCTGAGTCAATGTTTTCACGACGTACTTATTAGAAGAATTATGCAGATATGCCACGCCTTTCGCGCATTTCGCGGCTCACGAGATTTTGAAACTACTCTACCAAGTATTTTTAATTAAGAGAGGGAGTTTGACCTCTGAATAATCTCTTGTATACAATCATTTCCAATTCAAATTGGGAATTATATCCGAAGAAAAAATTCTCTCAGAACCAAAGGTCAAAAATGTGGTTTCTATGTGAAAGACGAAAGTTAACCTTCAAATGACCCTGATAATTACTATGAAGGTCCAAGGTCCATCAAGTGATAAGCTCCAATAACATCAACAACTTTTATAGAGGTAATTTTTCTGAGATATCGCTATCCTGATGAGTTAATCAGGAGTATCCATACTTTTAGGACACCCTGTATAATAAAAAGCAATAAGCCTTCTACTACTGTTTACCTTTCTTTAATGTTATGTAAGGTACGGTATTCCGTAGTTCCATGAGCTGACTTTATTTCATAAAAAAATTGACATTATTTATTTGCATTTGTTAAATAACATAAATATTATTTGCAGTAAAAATTTATATTCCGTAATTAGACTCTAGAATAGTTTTCATCTCATCCTCATATTAAACTACTTATTCAAAATAAACAGACCGTATTCTCTCTAAACTGATTATAATCTGCAAATTAATGTTCCGACCAGAACACGTTCAATATCTAATAAGCAAAGATCATTTGTCAGCGAACCCATAAGAATTTAGAAGAGTAGTTGTTTTCTGCAGTATCAGTTAAGAAAACTGTTTTGCCTAATGACGATATAGGTACTATTTTCATGGTATTCGAGAAGTAGCAGGTCGCCCTTTACCAGTTTCGCCGTTTATAGGTTAAGCATTGGGTAACAGTGTTTTCATGTGTTTTCTTTAAGGAAAGTGTCAAGCGAAGTTATGTAACTTAGTTTAGAAACTTATTTTTTGTTTATACGTAAATTTTCAATATGTAGTTTAAACTATTGGTTACATACATATCTTACACAGTGTGTATCAGAAAAATAGAATAAATTCAATAATAAATAAATGTGGGACGCTCGGACACGTCGATTGGTATTTTTAGTTGCGCATTTTTTTCAACAACAGGGGGTGTATCTTGTAATAGTGGTCAATACCAACTTTCTTATTTTAAATGCAACATCCTGTATATTATCCAATTTTTGGATTACTCAGATAATTCTAGACATATTTCATGTACAATGTCATATACCTATCTTGCGAATTTCTGTAATCAAATAATTTTCTTTTTTTAATGTCAATTATTGCAATAAATCTGAAAACACTTAATATTTCCGAAATAGTTGAAGATAGGTATAGGACATTGTACATGAAATATGTCTAGAATTATCTGAGGAACCCAAAAATTGAATAATATACAGGGTGTTGCATTTAAAATAAGAAAGTTGGTATTGACCACTGTTACAAGACACACTGTATAAAAAGTATAAAAAAATGTGCAACTAAAAATACCAATCGACGTGTCCGAGCGTTTTTTCGAACACGCCCCCATTTATTTATTATTGAATTTATTCCATTTGGCTGATACACA